TATAATTATTAATTTTAAAGAGTGATCATCTACCCACCAATGAATAGTTACCAGAAATATTCCCGGGGTTCTAGTGAAGGACTATAGGATATGTCATCCGCCATGTCGCATGTGCAACATAACATTAGATGATGGTTGTGTTATATTTCTAATTTTCTTAAGCGGAAAGTATGAAGCACTACATCTTGCTTCAGATTCTCAAATACAACATGGAGAACACTAACCCAGTCACACTTGGTGGAGAAACTCTGGAAGATGTGGAAACATTCACGTATCTGGGTAGCATCATCGATGAACAAGGAGGATATGATGCAGATGTAAAGGAGAGGATTGGCAAAGCAAGGATTGTATTCCTACAATTGAAGAACATATGGAACTCAAAACAACTGTCAACTAATTTCAACGTGAGAATCTTCAATACGAACGTGAAGACAGTTAGTCCTACTGTACGGAGCTGAAACGCAGAGAACTACTACATCCATCGTCAAGAAGGTACATTCACTAGCTGGATACTATCAGCAACAGCCTTTAATGGGGGAGGACAAACCAGGTTCCAGCTGAATAGGAAATTAGGAAAAGACATTGGAAGTGGAGAGGACGTACATTAAGGAAATCAGCGAACTGCATCACGAGGCAAGCGTTAACTTGGGATAGTGAATGGAAGCGGAAAATTGGAAGGCCAAAGAACACATTACACCGGGAGATTGAAGCAGATATGAAGAGGATGAATGTTAACTGGAAAGAACTGGAAAGGATTGCCCAAGACAGGGTTGAATGGAGAATACTGTTGGGTGGCCTATACTCCTCTACGAGGGGTGACAGGCGTAAGTAAGGAGTAAGTAAGTACATCTTGCTTCAGTGATCTGAACGTAAAGTATTTGTTGCTAGATCAAGATAGGAAAAGCCGTAATATATTATATCATAGCTAAGTGAAACAACTTACAAGCATGATTCCATAAGAACCATTCAAATTAAATCGACTAATTTTTCACTAGCTAACAACATTGAAATCTGTCATCATTTGAAGTATTTGACCTTCAGATTTAAAGTAAAAATATTATGTATCACCTGTTTTGTAATGATGTTTTGAAAAGCACATATATTTATTACAGATCATTTGATGTAAACTGCCACATTGATAAATAGTTAGCCTATCTTTTGCAGTTTGTTTAACTCTTAGATTAGGCGTTTAAACATCAATGGAAATTTACAGACTAAGTTCAGTTTGACGGTTGATTATCAGTTAATCATGTTATACGACTGAGAAGTTAAACTATTAAGATGATCTAACCAATAAAAATAACTCAACCAGGCACACATATCCATCGGTCCAGATTGCCATACCTCACTAGCACAACAAGATGAACAGCGAATTCATCGTAGTTAATTTAGTGTCCTGGGTTCGGATCCCACGAGTGCGGGGTCGTGGATGCGCACTGCTAAGGAGTCCTATAATAGGACGAAACGGCCGTTCACTGCTTCAAGGTTTTCGATGGTGGTCTAGCTTCAATTGGCTCATGATCTCAACTCTATACATTATTATGCTCAAACACGTGTTTTAAATCATGCAAACTTTAAACAAACATTAAACAGAGATGGATTGATTTATTTAAATACAAATCGATGGGAAGATTCAAACAAACAATACTAAGTTGAATTTAAACATTAAACGTTTTTCAATTGTGGACAGGTAGTCATATTGAACTCAGAATTATACAGTCTGTTTATAACTGATGTATATTATGAAGTTTATTTCCATCTAAAATTGTTATTATCAACTAAACCTTAAATATAATAGGAATAGATTTTTAATGGGGTATCGTAAAGTTAAACTTTTCTGAATGTTGTTACATTTTTAAAAGAATTATTCACAACTTGATCACTGCATAATATAAGATGTAGTTACTAACTTATGTATTGATTTCTCTATCTTTTAGATTTATCTAGTCAAATATGTGGATAGCTCTTTTAAACTGTGTGACATATCTTCTTGAGCTTTTTTACTAAGCAGGAACTTTATTGATTATTTTAGTTATTTAAACCAACCACTAAACTGGAATATTTTTAATACATTAATAAAACACATTCAGAGACGATGGTTAATCGATCTGAAATTCAGGAAGATAGGTTTATTTCACAGAGAAAAAACTTCCGTACATATAAATAGAGCAATTAAAGTTAAGAATCAACAATTTATATGGTTAAAACGAGGAAAAACTCTTTAGAAGTATATATTTTCAGCATTGTTCATACCTTATAACAAGATATAAGTACTGGTGATGAATAACATTTGAAAAAAATGAAAAATGTACTACCTTTCTAATAACTACTGGCACGAGAAATATTGTTAAACGGTATAACACCATCAATAACAACAATTACACGAAATTGGAAAAAAGCGAAAAGCAATAGAATTACGGGAAGGTATAGTTCGATTTGCCCTTCCTAATAGTACATCCTGGATAGTAGGTGACCTTTTCCTCCATGAACTAACTCAAGTGGCATAGCAGAGACTCAAGTGATCACCCACTCTACCAAAGATGGAGATCGGGGTAATTAACTACTCTATCTTAATTCGGACTAACAAGGAAAGAGAGATTAAATTTGAATTATGGGTGTGATGGTGGAGCTCAAGAAAGCTTCCTTTTGGTATCTGAGCTGACTGTGTCTGGAAGGGCTTATAAGGTCTGGCAGGGGTGGGTCACAACGTAGGTCATAAACTGTTCCGTAAGTAGTGCAAGGGGGCGACCCTAAACCTGCTTGTGGTATGAGCGTGAAGTGAGCATCTCGATTATGACGACGAGTTTGCAAACTAATTTAAGTACTTGATATTCATTTAGTGATTGAGGCCTCCAGGCTACGACCTGGGGGTGATATCATCTCCACCTATATGTATTCTGTGGCATGCTTTTCCCTCAGCCTATGCGTTCTATATGTGCTTGTGAGCAGAAACTGATGTGCCTAACTATGCTCGTAGGATAAGTGGGCTTGTCTTTGCATTCTATGGTAACATGTAACTCATATCAGCAACCGCGCCCATCAATGTCTCTATATGTATCACTGGAATGTATGTATTTCTGATGTATGAATTTGATTATATAGATATACAGCATACTTGGGAGAAAGTTCCACGTTCTCCACTGGTGAACTCATTAGTAGCTCATCAGCGCTTTTAGCTACCGAAGTTGATGGGAAAGTGTAGAATTGCCAAAATGTGTCCGTCTTCCTTACATGACGGTTAGTTAAGGGAGCTTGACTTAATGATTTTGTAAATTATATGGATACGTTAAACTATTGATTAATTAACATTAACAGTCATAATTGTTTTATTATTATTATTATTATTATTATTATTATTATTATTATTATCACTACTATTATTATTGGCTTTATTCAGTATTATACATTTTGGTACAATGTAGAATTTTCAGTACAAAGTATTTCAACAAGTTTCTTTTAGGAAACAAAAATAGAAAAAAAAAGCCCACAACACCATAGATATACACACAAATTAAGTGAATAATCTACCCAGAATTAAATGAAATGTTTTTTGTAGGAAGGCTAGAAATCTGCACAGCTTTTAATTAGAAACATGTTCAATAATACAAGTTCGATACAATCGAGTTTAATTATCAGCCAAATATTTTTAAAAAAACATTTCATTGTATATTATGTCAATGGTATAAACAGCTCTTTACCAACAGTCTTGCATTCTCTTTTGCATTTATCCTTTTCGGTCTTATTCCATTGGACAAATGACAAATAAAGGTTCATTGTGTGGTCATAACAACACATACAAGACAATAGTAGAGTAAGAAGTGGTGAGATTGTTATTTGTGGACGACCTTTGAGGGACTCTAAGGTGACCTTGAGAATACACACCAACTTACTAGAGCTAAATTAGGGTTATAAACCTGTACGAAGAATAAAGTTTATGATTAGGATCAGGAATTGGATTTAGGGTTTTCATCACGAACTGACATCAGTTAAAATGTCAAAACTTTATTTAGTCAAATGGATGGATGAATTTCACGCCAAGGTCTGAGACCTGTTATTCTAAATCTGATTGGTTTGTCCATAGATAATAGTCTCGCCGATTCCGCCTTACATTCCTTAATCATCTGTCCCTAAGGCTTATGATCAGAGCGTTAGGTAGATAGTTATGAAATTTAAGCTCTGAAGTGATTGAAACCTAATCAACATGTTTTGAAAGGAAGTATTTGTCAGTATTCCTTTACCATAGTAATAAAATTCTTATTTGATGGCATTATTCGTCAGTTCTTTTTCAATTTATAGTCTTATTTTATAACTAGAAGGACTTCATTGATTACATGTTTTGTCATTGATTTTTACGAATTTGAATTCATTGATTTAGTCATGTTGGAACTCAACTCAATGCCTAATTTTTTTTCTGTTATTATACATTTTTATCTTTATTTTATGACTTTCATATTATGATATTGAATTGTATTCATAAAATTTAGTGAGGATTATTAGAATTCAAATCAAATTAAAAAAAACATTGAATATTATGTTACATATTTACGAAATTGAGAGGATGAAAAGCGAATGTCTGGTGCTTTAACCGTGTTGGTGGATACGGAGAGTCTACCTAGGGGAGTTGGAAAACCCTCATTCCAAACCAATGGTGCACATGGGCTCCAGTATCCTGAAGGAACAAATGGTGTATGAATCAATCGTTGGTCACCGGCTACCATGAGATTGCATCTCCTGACGTTGCTTCACTGGTTTGTGGATCAGATCTTTAGGTCAAAATCTCCGGGTGTGGCCCTCTAAGAAAACCACCTGCTTCGGTTTGGGCATCCGGGCAGTATCACAGCCCTCACATAAATCAAATGAGATTTGTGTGGCGCATATATATCGGTTGCTCCTTTGTACCAATATTTATGTATTTAAATAAATCAATAATAAAACATTGCCTTCTAATCAACTTCATTTCTATGTTAAATTTGTATTTATGTCTATTTTGTGTATTTTTAGGTACTGTGGACATACTTTTCGTAGTAAGTTACCAAAAATAATTGGACCATCTTACATCATCATTATATTTAATGAAGATACGAACTAACGTTTTTCTTCCTATACTGTAAAATTTTTTCCTGCTTCATTATAATTGAAATCTTATCACGGTTATGTTTGTCTAAGATTTTACACTGTTTTCATATTTTAGTAACCAAGTCCGTAAATCATTGGGTTTTTTTTCAAGCAATTTCATTCCTTTATTTAACACACCAATATATTTACTCATTTTCTCTTAACCATAGAAATTTTACCATTAAATCGTGACAGCAATAGAATTTTTTTTAAAAATATGTCATTTTAGCAATGACCTATCAGATGCATCAACTAATGGGTTTCAGAGGTCTAGAGAACCAATGTAGTCTGTCAAACCCTAGAAAAAATTGCTTTGATTTGGTTCGCTTGCTTCGCACAGGGTCAAAATTACGCCTCCCCTAGTTTTAGAAACCAGACATGTATGTCAGTTTAATCTGCCTGCCTCTCTAATGTATGAATCAGTCGATTGGCCTAGAGGATAGACAGACACGTATAAATAAAAATCTCTCGTGTCACTGAGTCAGCCTGGTCTTCAGGATTGTCCAGTGTTTGAGCCTGTGTGCCAGAGTTGGCATCAAGCTTGGCATATGTACTGAAACTATATATAGGTTGATTGTTATTCAGTACAGCTGCAAACGTCTGCTTCTTTCAGAATTCGGATTGGGATTGTTGTTAATAGTGGTCTATTTTGCATTGCAAAATTGCATAGAATTTCAGTGAACTTGCACATGTTTTCGGTCTTCACATACCTAAATATCTACTGATTATTACATCATTCCTGCAGCCCATTCTGGCCGTGGATCACATTAAATCGTTTGTTTCCATGTCAACGACGGTTGTAGGCCAGAGGCCAGCTCCTCACCGCCCTTTTCGAGGTTTAGTTCAAGTGGGCTACACTCCTTCACGAGCTACACCCCCAGCCACGCCTGTTGATGCGACGACAACGCGTGAGGAGGCGCTTCTTGCAACTTCCGTCAATGGATGTATTACTGGTGTCAGTCATATAAAACCTTTCTTCCTACCCCCTCGTGGTCAAGGAGAAGGAAATCATGGCTCTGTGGAGAAAGGTTTGGGCTACGGGGCATTCGGAGTTGTTTGGTGAGTCGTATATTCTTTGTTTTTTCCTAAAGAAATATTATATCCACTTATTTTAAGATCTACGTTAACAGAATTCTACATATTCATATTAGTTTCGTGTACTCGTTGAAAATCATTAAATTCATTTTGAATGATAAACTGGTACATCGGTTTGTGCTTGAATAACTATTCGACAACTGTTGTTAGTCCCATCAGTCGTTAGCATGACTTTGCCCGTAAGCAATATTCTTATAAATACATGCCATGAATGCTTTGTAGTCCAATTGAATCTAACGCTGTATGAAAAAAATATGGTTAACCGATCGTCACCAGTAGACATTGTTGGTAGTTGACCCGTCATTTTATTCTCTAAATGATTTCAAGGCACCAATTCTTCAAAAATTAAACACAGCAACTCCTTGCTAGTAGTGAGTTCCTACATGACTTTTGTTTCTACTCGATTTCTGAAAAAACAGTTGTTAATTGGACTTCTACAAGGCTATGCTGTTAAAGAACTGCGATTGAATAATTATCACTTTGTCACTGGTCCCATTTCATGGTTCTTCCAAACATCTCGTCAAAACGGTCGTATTGATGTATAATTGTGGTTAGGATTCATAGATGGAGACTTTTAATGATACTAAAAAACGTCTTGCTAAAAAGCCAAAGTGATTGACAACTTTTACAAAGAATGCTTGGAGAACTATTTTTTTCACCGTTAGCTTCATTGTCTATTTCTTTGTTAGATTTCGTTTAAAAGATTCAGTCAATGTGTTCATCTTACTTTGTGAACCCATGTTTAAGCTTGTAAGGTAACTTGTTCAATAAGTTTTATAAAAGATACTTGGAATACTCGATTGTTTGACTAAGGCTTTACACCACTTACTATCGAATTTTCTTATGTTATCAAATTTGTCATGGTTGATAAAACTAATATACGGATTACTAGCTAAATGCATTTTCTCAATCACTCTATTATTTGAGCAAAAGATACTGGCCATTTACACTATTTTTTGAAAGGTAAATGCCAAGAAATGAGTTTTGTCATGGGTTTTACTAGAGGATAAATATATGGTGTGTATTCTGTCTATAAATCTGGATGTTTTTGTTTATTAGGATGGTGAAGTCATTCTGATGTTTATTGTATTTCCGGTGTAGATTTAACTACTTCATATTGTCTTTTCCTGATAATTTCATACCCGTGATCTTCCATCCCAACAGATTTGGTCAAACCGATCATAGTATTTGGGATGAGTCAATAATAGGACAGTATAATTTCTCTGATAACCCCTCTGTGTGTCCAACAGTTTCATCTTTTGAGTAGTTACCTAAGTGAAGTGAATAGAACATTTTCTTCATGACTATTCATTGATATATTTGAGCGCAAACTGGAATGCTCCCAGGGCCTCCAGACCGAAACAGATGTATTTCTTAAGTGGTCACTCCCAGAGCCTGAAAACCCAATCCACAATCTAAAATTTGTATATTAGATGAGAATAAATAAATAATAGTCGGTAGGATTTGTGGATTTAACACCAGTAAAGTAAATGTTTTGACCTTAAGTAATTTTCTTACAATAGTCCCAAGGACTGCAGATATTTAGTCGACAAGTTGAAACCCAGGTCAATATATTTCAGTTAGGTCATTTAGGTGGTATTATTGTCTTTAACACTAGTTCGAAGATCAGTACATAAATCTGTGAGTTCCATTATCAAATTATATACTCAGCTGATAAGGAATTTTACACTACTTGCACTAACGCTAATTTCTATCATTCCAATTTTTTGATTATTGTAACTTTGAGCTGCTGCTTATTCCCAATTATCTGCAAAAACAGTAAAATTTTCACGAACATCACATCATCATTCTTAGATTTTTATACCCAGTAATTTAGTAGCATCGTGCTGTCTTGTGTTCGAAGTTTGATATCACTGTCGTAGGTTATATTGATTATTTCTAGCTCTCTAGATGTTAATAGGTAGAATTATGTCAAATCTTTTCGTTGTTGGGTAAAGCCGAGTACCTAAAACACAAGGTAATCGATATTTGTTCATAGATCTTCAATGATGAGTTATTAGAACGTAATTTGGTATCACTTGGGAATCTGGGACTTTCGTCAGTTGTTGATGGGGTTTATTGGTCGGTGAACAGTTGTTCACATTAATTTGTTTAGAATACTATAAAGATTTTATGCGTCGCATATAAAATGAGTAGGCATTGGGTTTTCAGTTATGAAATTCACATATGGAATATCTACATTCTTAGTATCGTTTGGTTTTCTCATAGCATATATGGTTTGTTTCCTAGATTATATAAGACTACTTTTCTAAGTACAGCTGGCTGAAAGAAAGTATTATAGGATACTGGTCAATTCGAAAACTTCATAAATGAAGAGCCAATTATTTTGATAAGTATATCAGTGCGACCAGTTTGTTGTTACAATTGATCCCCTTTATAATCATCAGGATTGTTTAGAGGATACCGTGTTTCTGTTGAGTGGGATCGGTTCCTATCATTCTGGTGATACAAATCAAATGATTCAGTTATTTCTAAAGCTACTTTCGCGTATCTATCATCTTAGTATAAAACCTTTTATTTTGAATGACTGTAAGCAGTTATATTATCTTGGTTAATTTGTATTACCATCTTTATTACATAATTCTTGAAATGAAATTACAAGCTTGTTGAGATCCTCGAGTCGATTATGGACAAAAGATATGTCCAAAAAAGCTTATTCGAATATCCCTTTCGTTATTGCAGAAAATACATAGTGGACATTATACGGAGTTGAATATTAACAATTTAATATTTGAATGTTCGCTACATTGATCGTAATTCCAACCCTACAATCAAGTTATTGTGATGTAATTTAGTTGGAAAGTTGATAATCATTATATCCACTAAAGTTTCGCATAGATGTATGTGTCTACCAAAATTGTACTCTCTCCCGTGTCAACAAAGCTTTTCAGCAATTATATATCAAGTTCACAGCATAACTGTATGGCTAGTGTATTCCATGTACATACTAATAAAATATTTTGGCATCTGTGGTTATTATTTGATCTTTTTATTTTCACTATTCTAAAGCGTCACTATCTAATCAAAATGTACGTCAGATTTTTGGCTGAATTTTTTGTAATAATCAGTTTCTAGTTCTGTGATATCTGACTGCTACTAAATTCTGGTAAGTGGATTAAGGACATGAGTACACTACTATTATTATAAATATGCATATTAAACACTGATTTTTTAGTAGAAAACTAGTCATTATACTAATTTTGTGCATGTAAAGTGCAGTGCGTCCACGCACGAGACCAAAGGTCTTGGGTTCGAGTCCCGCGTGGGGATCGTGGACACACTTCTGAGGAGTTCCCATACTAGGGAGAAACGACTTCCAAGTTTCCAATGGTAGTCTAACATTGATCCAAAACTAATCTAATCTGATCTAAAATTAATCAAAAATACGTGGTGTAAATCAAAAAACTTTCTAGATAATAGCCCTTTTTTAATAAAATACCAAAGAAGTACGACTACTTTTCGCCTAATGGTTCTCATCTTATTTCCAATCTATGTAGTTGATCTACAAATCTTGAGATCTTTTTCTAAAGTGTAAAAATCGTAAGTTACTGGTCAGTGGTTTTTGTCTCAAATACATTTGAACTCAATCACTACGCTGAATCGCACACACGGAATCACACTTTATTTTTTAGTGTTTTAAGCATCTTATTTTCCTTTGTTAATTTTTCGAAGACCAACTTTTCATCGCTAATTTTATCTTTCTACACCATTGAAGTGTCCAAGATTAAACCTGGGATTCTCTATGACTACCCACTGTGCTAATATGGCATAGTAAATTGAACCGATGTACACATGTGCGAGGTTCTGCATTTTGATTGATCGTGTACTTTCTACCAGTCTGTATATTGACATATTCACCTAGTAATCACTGAGTCATTAGTCAAAGAAAGCATGGAAATAGTAGTGCTCGTTTCTGATTTCTGTAAGCGCGTTCATTATCATTTTCGGGTTGTGGAAAAGTATTGTCATTCACCTTTATGCAAAACATCAATGTAATTTGTCCACATTCAGTTAAACCAGCTTCAGTCAGTCAGCTACAATCTAGGACTAAGCACATGTATACATCGGTCCAAGTTGCCACACCTCATTAACAAAACAATATGAACACAAAATTCATAGGGGTAGCTACTTCAATGATAGTAATATCTAAAAGAAAGATTGCGTATAAGGATACAATACAGGAAGAAAGAATTAGCTTGTAGAAACAAAGGTATAAAGCAATTAAACCAGCTCCCTTCATGTCCCACTGTTAGTTTAGTCTGTATCAACACGGATATTCTTTTTGTCAGTGGAGCGACAACTAGTGGGTTTTTATCAAACTACCTACTTGTATAGTGGGTGTTATTGTTTGAGAAGTTGTCTTCCAAGAGTATTTTGATTAGCGAACTTTGCAATTCAGTGGTCCACTTTTTCAGTTGTGCTCCGATTTCTATTAGTCTTTTAGACTGTTGATAAGTTTATATTTCAACCCCATTAAACCAAAGACTTCTGTCATAACATATCATACCATTGAGTTCTGTCTTATTTCATTCATTTTAAAGAAAGATTCATTTAATCAGAGTACACAGATGACACAGTTCCGTTTGCTGGCGAGTAGCAATATCATGAACACTTTGGGTAATAGTTCAGAAAATGTTTAAATATATTTCTTACCTCCCCGAATGTAACATACTGCTCCAGAACTAGAATATGTTGGGACTCTATTTGACAATAAGGAGAGCAGTAGTTAAACGTCAAATGTTTTGATTACCTTGAAGGTTTCGTCACTAATGGTAAGCCAGTAGTTGATGAATTCTCACCACGAATGTGAAGACTTATTTTACCTTTTTCTGTGATATACCTTGAAGTCTCACAAAAGACATGCATATCTCATAACAATCCTCCTTGTTTTCTTGTGTGAATGTAAAGCAATGTATTATACAATCATAGGTATCTATAAATCATTATTCGTCTGAGGCTTGGTGTCATCAAATGAGGAACCTTGATATTAGGCATGGAATACTAGATAATCTTGATAAATTAGTTGATAAGATTGTAAATCTTCACTAACTGAGATGGTTGGAGGCACATGTTATACACTGTTTAGGTTTTTAACATACCACTAGTCATAAACCAGTACCTCTCCAGTCATTAACGTAGAGCCAGGTATATCTGTGAGATGATCCAACATCTTTTTACTACTCTAACTCAGTAGCTGGTCAGTCAACGACAACGTAGAACCTGGCGCATGTGTGTATCGGTCTAAGTTGTCATACCCTACTAGCACAGCGAAATGAAATTGTCAGGGTGAATCTTTTGCGAAATTAGAGTATACATATTTGAGCTGTAGCGACGTATCTTCTTATTCATTCGAACTGGATGGTTTAGAAATGCAGCTTACATTTGTGTAATAGTTGTGTGGTGTACATATTTTATTGACATAACAGTAAGTAATTTGATAACCCTGGCAAGGCCAAGAGTGAGGGGAGTCAGCTCTACGTCTCGAAATGCTCTCTCACATGAACACGTGCATACAACCACTGCCAGAAAAGTTCTACTCACGGCCTTCTCGTGGCGGGAGTGTCGTTTACGAAATTGAGAGGACGAAAAGCAAATGTCTTGCGCTTTAACCGGGTTTATGGATACGGAGGATCCACCTAGGAGAGTTGGAAAAGCCTGATTCCAAACCAATGGTGTACATAGGCTCCAGGATCCTAAGGAAGCAAATGGTGTATGAACCTATTGTTGGTCACCGACTACCATGAGACTCCATCTCCTTACGTTACTCCACTGTATTATGGACAAGACCTCTAGCTGAAAGGCTCATGGTGTGTCTTTCTAAGAAAACCACCTGTTTCGGTCTGGCCATCCGGTCAGTATCCTAGCCCTCGCATAAATCGAATGTCTTCTTGTACCAATGTTTGTGTGTTTAAATAAATGGGAACAGATTATGTAAAGTAATTTGACTAGTTACATTTTGAGGTTCAATGAACAACACCAGACAACTACCAAATAATTGTTTAAATTTTCTATCATATTTTCTGTGGCGAATTTCGACAATTAGTTGACGTCGTTTTCAACAATTCGCGATATTACTCATTATTCAACTTCAGTTTATTCTAATGACTCATAGATGATGCGGAACTCTTGTTTGCTTGACATTAAACATGGATATTGATATTGTTGTTATTACATTGGGTAGTTAAGCCTTTTTTGTATTGCATTTCATAATGCACTTAGTTTTTTTCTTAGCTTCGGCAAGTGGACTACATTCATTTTTACTCTTACTATAACGCATGCTTATATTCTCGTATAAATAACTATGCAATACGAATTTTCATCAGATTCCTTTTCTCATCACTGTAATACTGGTGCTCCTCTACAAAAATAAGTGAAATTTCAATCAGTATTGATGTAAGATATATATATATATATATATATATATATATATATATATATATATATATATGCTTGTCCCCGAATGATTGATCTTCTTATTTGTTGTTCTCGTGTAAATTCTAGGTCAGTTATCGATCCACGTGATGGTCAAAAAGTGGCACTCAAACGCATACCACGGGTTTTTCATAATCCTATTACAGCTAAACGTGTTCATCGGGAATTAAAAATGCTCTCTTGTCTTAAACATGAAAATGTAAGTCAAAATCAATGCATAAATGATGATATATTAGTTGTTAATCAAGGCTGTATTGTAAATAATCGTGTTTATTTCGCATAAATATTTTATCTCTATATCAAAAAGTGTATCTCCTATACATAAGTTTGCTTATATGTTGATTTAAACATGAACTGTTCCATACGACTATCTCATCTTTCATGTATATTGTTCCCTTCACCTTGAAGAAAGCAGGAGTGAGGATTTGTCTAGAGCTAATTACTTATTCAGTCTTTGAAAAAGTAGTGTAAGAATTTCTACATCCTTTGCATTGGAGAGATCTTGGATAAAATTGGTGATTTGTTTTCGATATATCTAAATATTTAAATTATTGACTAATAATATTGATCTCTCTTCTCAATTGTTCAATCAGTGACTTGGTAGATTCAGATCTTGGTTCTTTCTCTCTCCAAAATCATATTCGCGGAAAAGAACATTCGATGAACTTGATAATTTGATGTTGAGAAATGAATTTGTTCACCTCATTTCTACAAAATAGAATTTCTGGTACTTTGTTAGATAATTAGTTTAAGTGAACCGTGATTCAGTTGAACACCTATTTCGGTTCTAAAATTGGCCTTAATATTGAAATGAAGTCAACTTCATTTTTTTATCTTGCCAACAGTTGGTTTTCTCAACGTATTCAGCATATATTGTTCATTGAACTGACAATCTTAAGGATCGTTAGTTCGAATGCTACTTCTATAATATGCATAATTTTCTTTTGAGTTCTGAACATTCTTGAATTCAATTTTGATTTCAATAACTGATCTATTAAACTGTGAATATAAAATGCGGTTTTCGTTGTAACAGAACAAATAATGAGTTTGTAGGTATCACTACTGAGGTTTGACTTGATAATTTCGAATAAATTGAGCATTGGATAGATTGTTATAAATAAATAATGGTAATAATTCTAATATGGTATTGCAACTTGGATTAACATATATTTGGACCAGTCTCTACGTTGGTAATGACTTACCGAATAGATAGTATTTTGAAACCACTACAGCAAAATACACTTAATGGTTGGTAGTATTCGGAATTTTTTAGTTCACATTGTTATTTACTGAAATAGTTGGAGTGTGGTATTCACTGAATATTGTTCAAAATTATCTATGTTGAAGTATATGATTAATAGCGTCCTGAACACATTCTGCTAACAGACTAAAAGTTGCTGTGACTTATTAGTCTTGGAAATTGTTTGCTAATTAAGTAGACCACAGGTTCCAACTCTTTCCACTCAGTGGAATTCGGTCATCTCGATAGTAGGATCAGCCTCGCACATTTTGTGACGTGTAACCTAAAATCTCAATTCTTATGTGGTTCTCAAGTTAATTGTTATTCTATATTGCCACATTGTTCGTTGTAGTTATATTTAACATGATTAGAAAATACATTTTGGGAATTAATTGTCTTCAAACCCCAAACTACTGAAAATCTACGTGAAATGTTTCTTTTACAATTTAAGTAGACCTTTGTGTCTTGAATCTGATTGCCTTGATATGACTTTGTGTGACAAATTCTATTTCTTACTTGAGTTAATAATGGGTTAATAATGACTGCTTTGAGTACCGCCGGTTAAATTTTGTAGTACATCTCTATGTATTTGTGGATAAATAACGTATATTTCTTAATAGACAACTAGAAAATTAATTTAAACACAAATTAGTTTTGATGATATTCGAATGATTAAATGATTTTGGATATCTTAGATGCTGCCAAATCATTGAAATGCAATTAGAATTCGCTCAAACCACGATCCAGATGACTACATAATAATACGGCTGAATAGCTTGGTAATATGTGGTTTATATTGAGCACGTGACTAATTGACTGACTTACAAGACCAACTTAGAGCATAGTGGTAACAGTAACATATCGGTCTATGTTTGGGATAATTTGTTTTTATTTGAATTCGAACATTTTCCATTGTGCTTCCAAACAGAGAACGCTTTAACTATCATATTTGTACAGTTTTCTTTTGTTTAAAAAAAAACAGATGAATAATGTAAATCAGTTGTTCAAAAGCCTTTTCTAAAGAATACTTACTTATTACCTGTTACCCTATCCTTCATGAAGCATAGGCCGCTGACCGGTATTGTCCAACCAACTATGTCCTGGTTTTCTAAACGGTACATATAGTTAACTTGGTATGGATGTCCGTGAATTTATGTCCCATACGTTTTCCAGTGTTAAATGTGTGTGTAATATCAAACATTTTTCTGTTCACTTAATGGGTGAAGGCTGGATACAAGAGCACTACACTGGCGTGTTCATAGAAGATATATGTGGGTAGCTTCAGATGACTGAAATGAAATCCGTTGTGAAATTATGCTCTTATATCCAGCACTCACTCATTAAGTGAACGTGAAAAATCATAGACTATACGTTTAGTAAACATTGAAACAAGTAAGAATAACGTCACACCTTAAATTCACTCATCTTTTTTCTTATTTTGTTTGTTAAACTTTGAAAAAAAGGAATAATGCAAATCTTTTTTGGTTTTCGTTTCAGATTGTAAATTTAATCGACGTAGTTAAATCGGAAAGTTATTTAAATTTCGAAGAAATGTATCCTTTCATAATAATCATTATATATCATTTTGATGTTGTGATTACTCTTCTTACTGTTAGGACCAGTAATAAACTCAGATTTACCTCCGCCTTTTGCATATTCTTCTGAGTTTCATAATTTTAAGAATTAAATAGTCACCAATCTGATGTTGTCGTCTATCATGACAACAATGAAAGTCTTAAAGTTAAATCCATTATCCCAGGTATGAGAATACTACTAGTATCATATTACATTAAAGAAAGACATTAATGAAATCTACAACTTCTCTGCATCATTTCAAAATCGTCTCCTGTTTCTACCATTAATGACTAATAAATCGAATTATAATTCATTTCATACTTTGTATTTACTTTCCTATTTATTAGTTAGCTTATTAAATGTTTAGGTTTATCAAGTTGTATTGTATGGCCTTGTGTATAAAGAATTATCGTGCTATATATATGTACAATTTGAAGGAGCCCTTTCTTCATCATAACAATAGCGCTTTATGATTAATCCTCGATAGAAAACGTGGTTGGTGTTCTTTGTCTTAGTTATTTTTGCCTTATTTATTCTTAATTTATATCTACATATAAAATTTACCAACAGTATTTCGTATACAGATGAGACTTGCCTATATATTCAAGTTTTTATTTTCTAATTTTAGTATTGTGACTCATTCATTATATCCTGACTAACTATTCATCATCTTCACATGTCTTAAGGTCATGTCCTCTAAACCCCTACATGAATGAATATATGCATACACATACATATGACTGTTCTCCCTTCTTTCTATGAATTTTGGTTTGAGGTCAACTAGTTCTGGTGTTTGGTTGCTTTTTCATCTGTGCTTTAAAAAAATAGATGGTATGAAAATAGTGGTCTGATAAGCATCATGCTTTGTCCATAGTTTTCTCTTCTACTATTGGTTATTATTAATCAAGGAAACTGTGATTGCCAACTCATAATTATCATTCTTATCATCATCATGAATTGTTTTTAAATGTTGTTTAAAATTGCTTTGTCCAACGATTAGTATCTACTCAATCAGTCAGTCAGTCACAACGTAGAACTTCGTACATACGTACATCACTTCGAGTTGCCATACCACATTAGCACAGAGATGAAGTTGTCGATTCAAATTCCATAGTGGTAGAAGTAGTAAGAGTACAAGCATTATGTGAAAGATTAGGGTTTCAAGATTTTATTGAAGGAGTATAATACAGTGAAATAAATTTAAAAAGAGAAAAAAGACAGGGACATGAAGAATTCAGAAGATTAGAATTTAGGAGGACATAAAGAGTGGATGCACCTTCGCCATTGCAAACGATTTTGAGCCATGTCCTTCAAGGTATCTAACCATCGATTGCTATCATCTCGCGAATCCCAACCAGGTAGTCTACACCTACCAACATGGCTCAGTCCAATAGTCAGTGACTTCATGGATTTATGACACGTTTTGGTCTGACACAAATGAGATCGTACTTCTAGGGATCAGTATCTACTATCATTGCAACAATGTAAATAATTCCATAGTATTACATAATTACACCATCTATTAAACACTACCTTACATAAATCACATCCTATCCGAAAACTATTCACAATTCGATTAATCGTATCATAGTAGCTAATTTCATCAAAGTTCATGGGTTATGCAATAAATAGTTTCTATTGTATTGAACTAATTAAATTACAATGAAAAACATCAAATAGTTATGATTTATTGTATATTATTTTTACAATAAATTTTGAACTAACAAAGGTCATAATTATGTTCTAGTTATTATTGATTAACTGAAAGTTTTATTAATAGTTGCTAATATATATTGATCATATCATATGACGACTAAATTTTGATTGTTTAACTAAATATCTAATACATAGTTGTATTGGTAAACACAAACTGATACTTATTACTATATCATGAAAGTATTAATATTGATGTATAGATGTTAGAAACAATATTTGGTATAATGTGTATTGTGCGTGAAAAAAGAAAAAGTAGTCTCTTTAATGTGAATAGAACTGTTAAGTTGTAAATAGGGGAACGTCATCTTGGCTCATACGTAAACAGTAAAATAATCATATTTATGATTTCTTAATACCAGCTTTGTTTTTATATTGTTCTAGGTATGTTATGTATTTAACTAAAGGAATTCATCAGTTTATTTTATTTGTTTCACAGAATAATATATAAAAAGATTTTGCTTTTGTATTCACCATCGATTTTCTCAATTCCATAAATTATAAAAAATATCAGAAATGGTTTTGTGGATATTATAATAATTCTAATATAGTTGAAATCATGAATCAATTGAAGCTAGACCACCATGGAAAACCTGGAAGCACTAGATGATCGTTTTGTACTATTGTGGGATTCCTCAGCAATGTGCACCCACAATCCCGCCTCGAGAAATCCGAACCCACAACCTATCAGTCTCGAGCGCGAGCTCTTACCCTCTAGGTCACTGAGCTAGCCGGCATCCAACGGTGTTAATGTCTAACTTCAACCGATCCACGAAATTGAGCAACCATCCACCAATGTCTTCAGTGAGTTACTATCTCACAACAGACCTGGTTGAACTCCACGATAGAACAAGTTGGCCGTACAGTGCTTTCAGGTTTTCCCTGGTGGTCTAGCTTCAATTTATTCATTATCTCAACTATTAGAACATACATAACAGCCAACTGAGCAGTTATGATAAATTATTCATAGCTTTAAAATTTTTGCTGTCATTGATTTGTTACAATCGTGTCCAAACTGGACTATGATCTACATCTTGAACTTCAACACTCTTTTTTTAACGAAAATGTTTATATCGTCAGTTTATTTATTTTCTTTTATTCATGATAAAATATACTTCTAAAAGAGAAGAATTATTCCTTGTTATTACCAATGCTTAATAAGGGTATTTAGTTTCAGTGTATACTTTTCTAAATATCATGTGTATGGTTATTACCTTAACTAAATTATTGTTGATTATAGTTACTTTTTGTTCGAATTAATGCAAACGGATCTGCACAAAATTATTGTCTCGCCACAACCATTATCTTTAGACCATGTGAAAATATTTGTTTATCAAATATTACGAGGTAAGTCGATTAGTACGATTATTGTTACTGTCACTATTATTATTATTATTGACTAATATGTGTTGTTATCTTGCCAATATCGAAGAATAAGAATTTGTAAAATGTTATGGTAATGATAAACAGTGAAGGTGGAGCTGTGAGTTAATGGTTAAGGTGTTCGGCTTTCATCCATTATGTCACTGCTTCAAATTCTGCTCAACTTACATCGATTTAGACAATTGAGTAATATCATTGGCACTCACATATGGAGTATCCAAATCCAAGTAACTTGAGAATGAGTTAGTTGAGACAATGAGCATTTGTATACAACTTAGTATTTACTCTGTAAGCAAACCTGATTTATGCATACCTTGATCTTCTAGTCTGTTTATTGGGCTAATACTCGAAATGTGAATGTATGTAGGAATGACCTAGTTAAACTGGGCTAATTTTATTATTGGTGACTCAAGCTAAACATAATAACATAAATAATTTAGTGGTCTCACAACATAGGGGACCTAAACAGATCTCAATTTCTTATGTCTAACGTTTGTTAAAATCTTTTAAACTGAATTCAAATACGTAGCAGATTCAGTATAGTTGTTGATCTAAGTATCCATTTCCGCCATCTGAGTACTTCTCATCAATTTTTCGTTGTCATGTAGTTTGTTTAATAGAAAACATAACTCTAAATCCATTTATTTTATGCGTTATTTATGGTAGAAAGCAACTAGAATTTTCTATATGGAAGACGTATTAGGTCCTCTGTCATTTGTTTATGAAATTACTTTAGTCTACATATTTATCTTATTAATTATTCATATTCTATCAATTAATCTAAATGGAAATCAGATGATGTCTTACGATCATTACTCATACGTATGATTTTTAATAATCATTCTGTACAAAATGAACTCTCAAATGTTTGTCATTCTCTAGAATGACTAATGATCTATATCTCTTTATGAAAAAGGGTATGATTGTAGTCTGGTGGTGCATGAGACTAAGATTCATAAGCTGAACTGTAGATTAATCTCTATTTCACTTGTGTTTTTTCTTCTGATTTACTATTGAACATATCATTAGTTCGCTTTTTTTACTTATCTTTCCCATTATTATTTACCGGACACAGGTTTAAAATATCTTCATTCAGCTCGGATTATACATCGTGATATTAAACCAGGAAATATGTTGGTTAATTCGAACTGTCTGTTAAAAGTAAGCAAATAACAATTTTTCTTGTTTACTATCAGTACAATTCATATTAGTGATTACATAATGATTGGAATATATATATTTTCTCATTGTTATGGATTATCGGTCTAATGGTTGACACATGCAAATTTCAACGACTGAATTTAATGTTTGGAAACCAGCTGAATAGTATCACTTACTCTCATAAGTGTAAACCAAAGTGGAGCATAAGAAACGGGACTTCATTTTCTAGTTTTATTATTTAATTAGTTTTGTGATGTTCGTATTAAAGTTAAGGTTTTTCCTGTTATTATGACTTAAATTCTCTATTCACTATGTTACTTGCGATTCAACTATATTAGTCAATTATAAGGTTAGGTAATAGAATATTTGTTTACGGTAGTCTCAACAAAGTCTGGAATGATTTCGACTTATCGTCAAATTGTAATTATTCTATTCCATTAACTGTGCAAACTTGGTCTACATTTAGTGTGTTTGTTTGTGTGTAACATCCTCGTTAAGTAATATCCGCTGTCAATAAACAAATGAATATATCTTCATTAGTGATAGAAGTAATCTTTCAACTACTGTGAAATTATTTGTTAGGGTTTATGTTTCAGTGTTGTTGATGTTAAGGACTGAAATCGATCAGTTCCTGTTGGTATACGTGCATTCTGAGCGGATCGCCTCGGTGTTTCCTTTTAGTTACAAGTTCTTAGTACATTTGTTTTATAGCTAACAGTGAAATCCTAGGTGTTCATTTCTTACTTGAGGCTTGCTATCTATCTCAGTAGCTTACTGAATAACGCGTTGGATTTTAAAATGATAGGTTCTAGTTTCAAGGTCAAGATCATTACCGGTATATAGATCGACCAAGCTGATGAGTCTTAAATAAGATGAAAAGTACTCGCAAGATATTCCACTATTAATCCAAGTCGAAACATACTACAAACTGTGGCATTGGTTCTACAGTTTCCATTATTCAGTGCTCATGTTTATAGTTTTAACTAACTTAAGTATAATAAAGTTTATGATATATATATCTAAAATCCAGATAATGTAGAGAAATGAATTTCTGAAGTTTCATTATCTTATTTTTGGGATTCCTTTGGAGAATGAATAATCTTATTCAGATTAGCGAATATTCTTGCTCTATAAGGCTTCAGTAGGGCATTTTTTTATGGATTTTAATTATACATAGGAATATTTAGAATATAAGCTGCATTATATTCTCGACAACTCACTATGTAGACACAGTTCTGTGTATGAGTTAACAGCAATCTGTTTTGATCATCATTTCACCATTCTTTAAAAATGAAACAATTGTGTTAGTTAACAAATTTCTTTTGATCAAATAGTTAGAAATCGGTAATTTTACACTAATGATTCATACTTTGAAGTGTGAATTCGCTATTGAAATGGTCTGTCAGTCATCTGCTACGTAGCACAAGGCACACATATACATCGGTCTACATTACTGTACCTCATTCGCACTACACGATGAACAGCAAATTCATAGAAGCAGTTACTTCAATGGTATTAATACGTATAAATAAGGATTGCATATAAGGATATGATACAGGGAGAAAGAATTGGTTCGAATAAAGAAAGGTATAAAGTTATTTTAATCTCACGGTTTAAGGGAATACAAAGAGTGTATACAGCTACGCCATTGTGATCGATTCTGAGCCATGTCACCCACAGTCTCCAACCACTGGTTACGATAGTCGCACGAACTTCAAACAATTAGTCTCAAATAGAAAATATCCTGACATGTTGCTGAATATGTTTCCAAACTATCCGCTCATTTTTCCAAATAACAAAAATGTATCATTTATAAATACGTTATCTGATAGCACTGAGAGATTTTAAATGGTTACATTCAAAAGTTACCAACGTTTTTTATGTGTGTGAATCTTTTCAAATTTGATTAGAAATCTGAACTATTCTAATAGTTGATTTTACAATTAAATAAATAACTGTTTGATAAATCATTATTATTTTAGTCAGGCACCTTACTTTTTCTTTTTAAGATCCAATTATACTTTTTTTAAATTTTATGTAGATATGTGATTTTGGTTTGGCACGAATTGATGATCCATTTGGAGAGGCTGTTCTTACACAAGAAGTTGTTACACAATATTATCGATCACCGGAACTACTTATGGAAGCAACACGCTATTCATATGCTGTGGATATTTGGAGTGTTGGATGTACTTTTGCTGAGTTATTAGGTCGACGTATTCTATTTCCAGTAAGTAAAATAAGTTTGGTTTTATGTAGTTGATGTAACTCATTTACTAAGTTGAAATTTGTGTACTCGGCTTTAATGAACACCATACTTTGATTATTTGATTAGGTTATTAATATAATTAATCGACAATTCAAACTGTAGTGAATGTGCCAGGGATCAAACTTGTTATTTGTTATTTGAAAGTAGAATTATCTTAACCATTAAGCTACCATTTTATTGTCTAATGACACAATTATCTTCCTTTTTTCCCCCAAATTTGATCATTGTCTGCTCATGAACTGGTATGTAGATATCATTGTGGAATTCCGTTTTATTAATTAGACATGATACAATTAAATGAAAAATATAGAATTTTTAGGTTGCATCATACGCTTTATTCTTTTACTTTTTATTTTTCGTCGTATAACAGCTGCTTTAAGTATATTAAGAATTCCATAACTGTTGAGTTTACCATATATATATGATTATGACTGACGGGCGACAACTCCATTAGGTATCGAATGCGTAACCTTTAGTTTTCGTAGGGAGCAAAATATACTTTTAGACCACTGAATCAGAATCTGTTAGTTCGCATTTCATCATTAACCATCACTAAATCTGAGATGAAACCACTAATCAATACTGCTTAGCATTGAATAATTCTGTGGCTAATGCTAATCCTCAATGGATGTTCACTTCACTAATTTGAACTGTATAATATATGTATTCCCTTCTAATGATTATCTAAAAATATACCCCACTTTCTGCGTGTCCATGCTAACGAATTATTCATTCAATTAAAATCCCGATGAGTTTTACTTCTGTATTTACATTTCTTATAGTCTTTTTCCTATTCTCCCTTATTATAATCTCAGATATAAATATATATGCATATACATACTTTTGTGTCCGAAGCGACGATGGGAACTACTATTTTTCTTTCTTCCCTTCAACTGAATTATTGATCGAATAACCTTAGTCATCGTTATCATTATCATTCTGTTACTATTATTATTGTTGTGTTGTTTTATAATGTCAAAAAGCTAGCTTATTCTATCAAGCCTTTAAATGGTTACTTTTTTCAAGTTCATTTGTTTGTTTATTTCTCTTCTATCCTTGTACATGTATATAAGTATATGAAAAAATGTATTTCAATACAATATGCACACATACATGCGCATATTTATTTGTAGTAGAGAAAACACTACTTTTAATTTTTTTCTAGTAGTATTTTCTTCGAAGTACTTAAACTTATGAGATTATTTTAATGTCAGGAAGTGTAATGTTTCTAAACGTTGGAAAGGTTGGAAGAAAGCTAGGGGCGGCCAGACCAAAACGTGGCACAAATCCATGAAGTCACTGACAAATGGACTGAGCCATGTTGGTAGGTGTAGACTACCTGGTTGGGATTCGCGAGATGATAGCAATCGATGGTTAGATACCTTGAAGGACATGGCTCAAAATCGTTTGCAATGGCGAAGGTGCATCCACTCTTTATGTCCTCCTAAATTCTAATCTTCTGAATTCTTCATGTCCCTGTCTTTTTTCTCTTTTTAAATTTATTTCACTGTATTATACTCCTTCAATAAAATCTTGAAACCCTAATCTTTCACATAATGCTTGTACTCTTACTACTTCTACCACTATGGAATTTGAATCGACAACTTCATCTCTGTGCTAATGTGGTATGGCAACTCGAAGTGATGTACGTATGTACGAAGTTCTACGTTGTGACTGTCTGACATTAATGACTAGCTTCAAAATGGGATTCCTGGAATTATAGTTAGAAACCTTGGCCAATGAAGTTCAGTTTAGTCATGTATGAGAGTTTTCCATTAGAGGCAATGGAAGATTGTCGTGTAATAATGTGAATCGATTGAATTTAAATAACCTGTCCAGTGGCCAAACGGTTAAGCTTCCGTGAGCAAAACTGAAGGTTGTGTCTGATCCTCTGTGCGGGGTCGTAAATCCATACTGCTGAGGAGTCTCACATTAGGAAAAAACGGCTGTCCAGTGCTTCTTGGTTTTCAGTAGGGGTCTAGTTAAGGCCAATTTGTGGTGCAAACTCTGGTGCCTGTAATGTTTTTTTGTCTATCAATGGTTGAATACATATTCCAACTATTGCTTTGCATCTATAAATTTATAGTTATGTTATTTAGGTATTGCATTTGTTCGCCAATTATTGGGTTTGAATATCCGACATTTCACTTAGCACTTGTAGTGTTGTCGAATCAGCCTGGACCAGAAGTTAGTCACTCTCATTTTAGTATTTTGTGGACATACCATGAAATGAATTACCAAAGTTATTTATTCACTAAGGTATTTCATCGATCGGTTGTGTTATCATAAAAAGAATAAATATGAATTTATGGGTATTTGATAATTGATTTCTGCCTTCTGTGTGTATGTTTGGATATGACGATACGAAATGATAATCTTTCCTTTACCAAACTGATAACTACCATCAAAAATCATTAGTTGAATAATTCGTGAGCTTTCGAGTGGAATGATAAATGTGTTTGTATATCATGTACTCTAAAATACGAGACACAAAAACTAGACATTACCTGCTTCGTTTTGGGCACCGGGGCAGTATTCTGACCCTAACACAAATCGAATCTCGAAGTGTGGCGCATATGTACTTGGTGCGTCCTTGTACCAATGTTTCTATGTTTAAATAAATAAACTAGATATTTAGGTCAAATAGTTTGATCACACGATATTTACACCAAGATACAGTGTTAATCCGTGTTTTCCAGTGATATCGCATTAACCTTGAAATGTTTAAAATAAATACTTATTTGGTTTTCATTTGTTTCACACATCAGATCTTTATATTTGTTTTAGTTAATCGATTTCTGATTGTTACAGTTTTTTTGTGTGCAAATATTGAAACTTAGATCATCATTACATAATATAGTAAAAGTATAATATAGAGGTGAGCTTGGGAATTCTTGAAATGACTGCTTTTTGCTTCAAGTCACTTTCCAGCCAATGAGTTTAGTCTGTTTAAATCAAAATAATTTCGTAATGGCAGTGATGAGACCGGTTATAACTTAGTGATCTTGTAACATATATTGGTTTTCTAATGTCAGTGACACAAATGCATTCACTTTTTATCTTCTTCTCGGTTTCGAATTTCAGGATTCCTTCATACATCACCTCAATGTATCTTGTTTAAACCATATTTTCGATGTGTAGTCGTAATTTCACTAGTTTTACATAGGGACCCAAACAAAATAAGTGGTTTTCTTTGAAGATCACTTCACGAGGCTTTATTCTGAAATTCTAATTAAAAAGTTAGTGGATCAGCGTTACGAGATCCAATCCGATGGTAGTTGGTGACCGGGACACGCTCATACGCCATTAGGTCTCTCAGGACTCTGAAGCCTATGTACACCATAGCGTGGTTTCCTAACTCTCATAAGTGGTCCCTTCGTATTCACCAACTCAGTCTAAGCACCGAACACCTTTTTTTAATCATCTTATTTCCGCTTGAGCGCCACCACATGATGGCAGTGAGTAAAACTTTCTTAATAGGGACTATAAGTTAATTTAAGATGAGGAATTGGAGATATATAATTTCGTCTTAGTAGAACTTTTCGTGTAAGTAGCCGAAACGGATGTTTTATTTATATCTTTCAGTTATGTTTCATCTAAATTAATTATTTCCGCCTAATTTGTCTTTTAATTTATTCCTTTTTTTCTAGGCTCGAAGTCCTTTAGAACAATTAGAACTGATTATTAACCTTACTGGAAGTCCTAGTCCTGGAGATTTAGAAAGTTGTCATCCAGATGCATGTTGTTTTGTACTTTCATCAAGATTACGTGATCCAAATCTTTCTATTCTTTATGCTCTTACACCTGATGTGAATGAATTAACTGTTCATCTATTGGGTAGTATGCTCAAATTCAATCCGGTTAGTTGAATAATATTACTATGGAAATTTCTACTAATTTTCTACTATATTTTAATTACTTTTTTATTGACTATCAAACCAAACATAAGTTTATGTGTGCTAAGTTCAATATCGACATCCATGTTTCCATTGTTTTAAATGAGATTTTACTAAGCTCACGCATAGTCATTTAGTTTCTCAGTAAACTGCTTTATAAAAACAATGAATTAGTTTAGTGAGTTTCGTTTGCCTCTAGTTCTTTTGCAGCAAATCCATTTGAAACAATTAGATTAGTAGTACTTACTTTAACTTCAATTAAACAAGTGACGAGCTCTACCTCACATATTAGGATAACGTTAAAAATTATAGATTTCGGTTCTCAACTATTCATCTGAAAAACTAAATCATCACTCCTAACTACCGAATTTCTCCAGACTAGTAGACTTATTTCAAATGAACTACTAAACTTTCATTTTAAATGCAAAAGTTTTCTTACTAGAATACTGCATACCTACATAAATTTTGGGAATGAAATACACACACACAAACGTACTCATAGGTATAGATCTTAAGATAAAATCCATACAAATGTAATCACAACTGTACGAATAGATACTGTTCCAAAACATTAAAGGTCATCAAATGTTAATACCTTGTTGGAGAATCAACAAAAACCTAGCTAAAAAATCCATACAAAAAAGTCAGTGAACATCTAATCCACACAACCTCAAGTTGTGTCCGACAAGACTGTCCATTATCCCCATTTTTGTTTAACTTCATCGTAGACCTACTGCTAGAAATAACACTCTCGTCGACTGAATTTTCAGGAATTGATCTCCTACCAGGAGATCCACTTATCGACTTAGAATACGCAGATGACATAGTTTTGTTTGGTGAAGACGCTGACAAAATGTAGTCTTTTGGTAGCACTGAGTAGCAATGTCAGGATATTTAGAATGCGTTTCTCCCCATCCAAATGTAAATTGTTACTCCAGGATTGACCTGCGTCAACGCCTGAACTAAGGATAGGGAGTGAAGTAGTCGAACGCGTCGACAACTTCACTTTTCTTGGAAGTGTGATCAGCCTTAATGGGTTGGTGTCTGACGAAATATCAGCACGGATTCAAAAAGCTCGTTTGGCTTTTGTCACATGGAGAAGACGAGATATATCCGTCTATCAATTAAGGAACGAGTATCCTGCGCGGTAGTTCGCTCTGTTCTACTTTATGACTGCGAAACGTGGCCATTAAGAGTAGAAGATACTCGCAAGTTGCTAGTATTTGACCACAGATGTCTTACAAATATTGCTCGCATCTGCTGGGATCACCGGGTAAGTAATAGTGAGGTTCGACGCAGGGTATTAGGGAATGATGGTAAATCAGTTGATGAGGTCATGAATCTTCATCGACTGAGATGGTTAGGCCACGTGTTACATATGCCTTAACACCGATTACTACGACGCGCTATGCTGACTAGTATTGGGGATGGTTGGAAGAAAGTTAGGGTTAGGCAATTTAAAACGTGACATCAGTGCTTGAAGTCACTAACTTCTAGTCTGAGCCATGTTGGTAGATGCAGACTACTTGGTTGGAGTCCGCGCGACTATCGTAACCAATGGTTGAAGACTCTAGGTGACATGACTCAGAATTTATCGCAGTGGCGCAGGTGTATGCACTCTTAATCTTTCTCTAAACCTTGCGATTAGAATTGCTTCAAATCTGTCTTTCTTCCTGTACTATATCCTTATATAAAACCTTTCTTTTATAACTACCTCTGAATTTATTGTTCATGTTGTTGTGCTAGTGAGGTATGGCAACTTGGACCGATGGTTATATGTGCCTGGTCCTTCGTTGTAGCTGACTGACTGATTGACTCAATAAAATTTCTATATAGGCTAACAATTATAACGCATAAATCACCGTACCTTTCCCTGTCTCTTCAAAATACAGATCCTCAAAAATTTATCAAATACCATTGTTCTAAGAGTTGTTTTTTTCTTCTTTATGTACAATCGCCAACATCAAGACATTAAACAATATTTAATATTATAAACGAAGATGGATGATGGCTAGCAGTGGGAACCAGGACGCACGTTTCGTTCTGTTTGAGAGTCATCAGCTGGAAGTACTGACATCTCAGAGTTGATGTTCACATTGGGACTCGAATTCACTACTTTTCGCTTCAAATGTCATCGCATTATCCACTTATTTACTGATTCCGGATTACCACCCGCTTGTGAGATGGGGTGAAGTTTAAATTCATTTCGCATTGTTTGTTTGAATCTTCCTAATGTGGATATCAGGAATCAGTAGCTGAGTGGATAACGCGATGGCGTTAGAAGCGAACTGTACCGAGTTCGAGTCCTAGAGTGAGCATCAACTCTGAGATGCAGGTAAATCCAGCTGACGAGTCCCAAACAGGACGAAACGCGCATCCTGGATCCCGCTGCTAGCTACTACCCATCTTTGCTTATAATGCTTATGAATTAAGGTTATATCGTGGCAATACGCACTGTATGCATATATTCCATTAAGAAACTGATCAATTGCAAACCTAAGCGTCAACGGGAAGAATCATAGAAACAATACGAAGTGAATTTAATATTGTTTATTTGAACATAGAAGTAAATAGACATTCGTATCGATACCGGTTTCTAGGATTGTTTGTTTTTCTCTATCTGATCTATCGATCGGTTAAGCGCGAATGACGCATTTTTAGACATGTTCATTTTTGTTATTCATTAGGTCTGTCTATGTTTAAGTATGTTTATGCGACTAAATATTGACTACAACTATCATCATTCACGTTCACATCACTCTTCCAATTCATTTGAATGAGTATAGTTATAATATTTTTTAAGTTTCACTCGCCCACACACACATTCTCTCATCATCCCTTAAGTTTTGAAGATTGAGTATCTATCCTTTTTTTATTCAGTCTGAATCTCATGAGCATGTTATTGTTATTGTCGTATTATTATTTATTATATATACACAGGATAAACATGTTTACATTTTAGACTAAACAATTATTGATACTGACTGACTAGATCTTAGCGATAAACTATTACTGTATAACCTCATATTACTTTTTACTGAGACCTTTCCGATTTAATAGAGTGCAATTAAGTTCTATTCAAGTATGTGGCAACAATGATCGACATATTTGTGTATTGTCAATTTATAATCATCTGTAATTGAACATATGGTTGACTATTTCCCATCTATACTTTCAAAAGTTATACTAACGAGATACTAGTTATTTTTGTCAGGGACGAGCTTAAAATAATCGCGACGAATTTTCAGCCAGTTCTTAACTAATCAGAAAAATTTATTGTAGTTTGTCCATAAAATATGATGTCAACAGTGTTTGTTTCAGGATTAAAGTTTAGGACTAGTGTTGATTTGTCTGTTATGTAAAATACATAGCAAGAGCATTTAATAATTATCTCGTTTACTATAATCATATTTAGTTTTTAGTAGTCAAAAACGTATTTCTACGTATTTCGAGGCGGCCTGCTTGAATACCTGGGCTACCTGTTTCTGCCATCTAAATATTTCAACAAGTTGTCGTTAAACATGAAATTTGGATTTCACTTAAACGCCTAAAAGTCGGGTTTCTTAGCAGGTTAACATTAACGCTGTTGAATACTGGCTCAGTAAACTAGAGTTTATGATTTCGCTTGCGAGGTCGAAAGTCCTGGGTTTGAGTCCTTTTGGTGCGGGATCGTGGATGTGCGCTTTCAAGGAGTCCCACACTAGGACGAAACGGCGGTTCAATGCTTCCACGTTTTCAATGGTGTTCTAACATTGATCCATTCATGATATCGATGTATGCCACTTTTCATTTATTTACACAGATTCCAATCTGTTGTTTTGTTTAGAACGATGTTGTCTATCTAAAGTCCATTTATCATTCAATTGTTTTCTTAACAAAGTCAAATGGTAATTGTTAACATCAACTTATTTATTGTAAATTACAAGTTATTGTCTTTTTCCATTGTAGTAAGTAAATTTCCCAGTCTTAAAATGCCAAGACAAACAATTTACTTCATTTTAAACATAAGTCTTTTTTTTCTACACAAGAAATATGTATTACTTAAATATAGTGCAAACTGATTTGTAGTAAACTTATGAGGTTGTGGAGATAGTTGAGCTTAACTGAAATTAGGAACCTATCTAAGTTGAACATTAAAAGCCTGGATAGTTATTTCGTCCTGGTATGAGATTTCTCATCAGTGTACATTTAGAACTCCGTAACCTGGATCAAACATGAGACTTTTGGTCTCACATTTGAACACATAACCCCTATACCACTGAGCCCGGATCCAATTCATATATATGTATGTATTTGTTTTTCACTTTAAGCGTCAGCGTATTTCTGCTACTGATGCATTAAATCATCCATTTCTGGAAGAAGCACGTCTGCGTTATCATTCATGCATGTGTTCTTGTTGCCACGATGTCACATTGAACTCTGTCAATGATGATAATGTTCAAACAACAACTGGATTTTGTTGTGCTCCATCATCATCAGCCTCATCATCATGCACTTCATCATCGACTCCGTCGTCTGATTCAATACAAAGTATTAATGGAAAATGTTTGCATAGATATGAAGCAAAAACTGCCGCTAATGCTATACCATCAGGTAGTGGGAATTCATCATTTTCTTCTAATGCTACTACTACCAATGGTCCCACAGCTAGAAGACGTTATTTTCATGATCTTGATCCAATTTGTTCAATTCTACTTCCACTTGATTTAGATTCAGGATTTCGTCGTCTCTCCGATGCTAAACGTAAGTTTATTTGTGGAAAATTAAAATGGACAAATTTTCTGAAAGAAATAAATGTCACTTTTAAGCAGTTACTTTTTAAATCAATTAGGGAGGATAGCTTTAATAATTTGTTTTGTCTTATTCTGCTAGTGTCTCAACCAGCGCTACTTCATGTATGAGATTGAATCTATCAACTGTAGGTTGTGCAACGAAGACGTGATATTCAGACAAATTAATCTGAATCTAATAATTATATTTCTAGCCTTATTAAGCAACTGTCAGATTACTCTCAACAAGGTTGTATTGTACTGGTCGTAATTTCTCATTAGAATTTCAGGAATTTTACCAAACACCAATCACACTAGCAAATGAATTACCAGGCAAGGACTTTGATAATAGTTTTTACAGTTATAATTATGAAATTATAATTCATCTGAATTGTTCACCATAGCTTGACAATGATTATTAGTAAACTCCTGTGTGACGCTTCAACGTCTACAAAAATATCAATACTTAACGTTAGAGTACATACGCAGCAATCGATATAATGTTAAGATTTGAATTTCAGAAGTGCCTGTGTTGTAGTTCGTTTGAATAAGCTTTCTTCATAAAAAGAAATTTCTTGCATGTGGGAAATAAGATATATGATTTAGGTCTCAGCTGAGGAAGGCAACGAACTCTGTGTCAGGAATTTTCTAATATTACTATAAGGAGATTTGTGGAGATTGTAGAATTTTTGTCGTTCAACTCACGAACTGATTTTAGATAGACCACCATTGAAAATCTGGAAGCACTGGACGGTTATTTCGACTTAATATAGATCAACAGTCTATAGGTTAAGCGTTCGTACGCAAGGTCGTAGGTCCTGAGTTTAACTCCCAGTACCAGGACTGTGGATGAGCACTTCTGAGGAGTTTTATACAATGATAGAATGACCTTCCACTGCTATGATCATTTTTCTAATTTGTCAAATAATCGGGCCTTTAGGTATTTGGATTCACGAGGTACCTTCATATAAATAATACATATGTGGTCGATCATATATTTGTTTATGAATAATTATCATCTTTTTATTTGTGTCAATTGTTTTTTCGCAAATTACGCAAACAGGTGTTTTATGGGATAGTATACAAGAATATTATCGTCGAGACGATCGGTTAACAAGGGTTGTGCTTAATCGAAATGCTGCAAATTACAACAGTTTTATTAAGTAAGTAATTTATTCAACTATTTCTAGTATGTATTTTGATATTGAGGTTTCATGTCCTAGACGAAACTTTATCCCGGAATGAAATGATTATTAGCTTATAAACACATCCCAGGAACAACTAGAGAAGCGTTTAGTCAATCAAAGTTATGTTCAACCTGATTTAAGTTGTCGTCATATCTAAACAGTTGTAAATTAGCAGTGATATTTACCATTGACTTGAATCAAAAGGTTAACTATAGTTAAATGATTTCGGTAACATCTATTAAATTGATGTGCATCTGGAAACTAATTCCGCCAGGCGCGGAACATGATGAGGATGAAAGTCAGCTTGAAGATCGAATGACAAATCTACGCAATGAGTATAAGCATTGATGGTGAACGAAAGCGAAAGAGATGAAACAGACAGTGGCAACAAGCAAAAGTAGATCTTTCTTTAGACCTATTCATATAAATAGGTGTTGTGATTTTATAAAAGAATAAAGGATGTATGCTAATTCGTTATTGATTTTATTTCCGGCCTTTATCACGTGAATTATCCACCAATCGAAATACGACTTTTCTAATATTAGCACTGACGAATCAATGACGTTTGTCCAGTATGAGTAGTCTAGCGTCTTTATTGGCCCTTTGTCCGCCTAGCCTTTCCAATTGAGTCCAGAACACCAATTGCAGCTTCTGCCATACGAATCATTTATTTCAAGCATACTCGGTTTATATAACAGATAGACAGACGGCATTACACCATAAAACAGTTAATACTTGTACAAGATCAAGCCAAATGTGACTGTGAACGTGGGAGACATTAGTCAATAAACAAAATATAATTTAGGAACAGTAATTCGTATAATAATAATCAATAGGTCAAAATGAAGCATATAATAAGATGAATATATATAGATTAAATCTAATCACTGAATAATTATGCAATAAGAATATATATAGAATAATAGTCCATTAATAAGTCCCGGAAGTTACCTGTACTTATGTCTTCACTAGGATATAACAATAGTCATCAAGAATTCGGGAGTTAGTCAGAATATTTCGGAAAAAGATGGGACAATAATTCACTCTTAGCTAAGGAGATTGGAACTATCGATTGAAAACTTTGAAGAATATTTGAACTGATTTTCAGCTAATCCACTCGCCTTACTCATTCTACTACCGCTAATACTGTTACCACTTATACCACTCTGACATATCGCTGTACTGTTGTGGTGTGGACATTTCATCCAGGACACATCTATCTGTCCCAGGTTCCACGCTGCGTTTGGCTGACTGACTGACTGATACATCTATGTTGTGAAATGGAAAGTAGTTAAATTCTCCAGTAAACAGTGATAATTTTATTTATCATTATGCTTAATCCACCGTGATTGTTGTGACAGATTTTTTCTCTCACGATGTTCGCTATGTATTAAGTTGTTACCACATTGTGAAATTAACCACCTGTTTTTTGGACGTTGTTTTTTTGTCTGTCTTATTTTTTTCTTTTTTCTTTTTAAAATAGTGCTTACATTGAACTTAGTACTTTAGCAACTTTTTTTCACTCACTTTTTGAAAGACAACAAAACGTTGTTTTGCATATTCTCTGTGAAAATATATAAATATTACGTTGTTAGACTAGACATATATTATCTGGCAGTTAAGAAGAAACAGACTTTCTTTAGCGAGATATGTGTATGAATTACAACTATTTTTGTCCAATGTGTGTGTGTATATATATGAGTGAGAGGATATTAGATACGAATTTTGATCAACAGTTGAATTCACTGTCGTTACATTGCATGGTGTGGCTTAAAATTATCATTATTACTGTGGCTGTACATATACGTCTATGTCTGAGTGTACAAATAGATATTGGTATATTTTTTTCTAATGTTTCAATTTTGAAAATGTAAGTTGACTAACTAAATCAATTTATAACCCGGTGAATTGAATCAATCAGTTCAACTTATCACCTTTTGGGAACAATAAAAAAACTTTTTCTGACTATCAAATTTTACTATATAGTAGACTTGGTGCTAAAAAGAACAAAGCCTAAACTTGAAGAAAGTTTAATGAAAAGGGATTCTAGTTATTGCTCAGGATACTGGATGCTGATTAGCAACAAGATCCTCTAAGATAACTTACCTTTTATTCTTTTTGAGACTGGTCAGCCGGATGTACTTTTATCCCATTGTTGTTATTCTCACTGGGATTTGAGACCAATTACCTTTTAAGTCCATCCTTCATTGACTAATCCAGTCGAGTAGTTAGTCGGTTGTAAGTTGGGACACTAGACAGTTGATTTACATTAGTTTTGTTATTAATATCGATTTGTTCTAATCGTTTAACTTTATTTTGGAAAGCGTAAAAAAGTGTTTAATCCTTTTTTCTAATGTTCCCCCCATCCTTTACAGTTCTTCAGTTGCACAGGCCAAAGAAATTCCTGCTAGTCATCGTTGGCATTAATCATCAAAGTTGGCGATTACTCACGAAAGTATACATGTATCAAGTTGAAGTTTATATGTAACCATTTTGTAAGGTGTTTCAGTGATTGATGCTGTTTTTTTTTAAAAGTGATATTTTTCTCATCAAAAACTCACACTGATCGGTAATTGTCTTCCAATGCTCTATTATACTACAATAGAAAATCAGTAATACACATAAAAGAATGATCCTTTTCACCCTATTGCCCCCTTGTCCCCCACCTTCATCTACTTCACATCAATTTTCAATGAGAACATGGGGCACAGTATGAATATGGGAAAACATAATTGTCAAAATACTCACCGTTTTATTTACTGTCATATATATATATATATATATATATATATATATATATATATACGTATACATCTATCTGATCGGATGTATAATTGATCACCTTCTGCTTTACATTATCAATATTGTTGTAATTTCTTAATATGTTCTTTTTTTACTACTTACAAAACAAACACTTGTTGTCATTGTCTTATTTGTATTGCTTTTATGCTGCCTCCGTTTTAATAATTGTCTGAAAGTTTTTGTGCAATTTCTTTTCGCTTGAATTTTCTTAGGTTTAATTTATTGCCGTATATGTATGTGTATATCTTTTTTATGTATTCTTTAATATTATTTTCTAAACAAAACATTAATTATTGTTAGTTATCTGTGCTGTGTTAGTTTGTGCTTTCGTTTATCTCGTTCACCCATCGACCCCTATCCAACACCTTGTGTTATTATCACCATGATCGCCATTTGTTCTTTGTTTTATTTATTTTTCTTTGCATCATGAACAATCAACAAAGTTATTTGATTTCATTTTTAATTAAGAAAAAAAGTGTTACGCGTACCGAAACACGTAAACTCATGCACACACATACACACTTTCATTGGCTTCTTACTAGTTTTATAATAATCATATAGGCTTTAGTTCATTATTGAACAATGCCAAAAGGGCTTTCTTTATTTTTCTCCTTTATTTGCTTCACTCTAATGTTGCAATACTGTAATACTGTGTGTCTGTGTATAACCCATCCTTTTATTTTTTTAGGTTAAACTAGTTTAATATTTATTACCTTTCTTTATCTCTTTGTCTGTGTGTGTATTATGGGTAGGACAATTCGACTCTAATCAAATCCAAATACATAAACAATACTTAATTTTGTATTATTGAAGCAGGAAAATACTTTTAATTGCTTGTTTGTGAAGTTGGAATTCCTGTTTCTCTCTCTCTCTTTTTCTATGTATGTGTGTGTGCTTCGTAGCTCAGGTTTGATCACAAAAATTTGCACGATTCAAAACTTTTTCACAAAGAAACAAATAACTACTAATTTCTTTTGTTATAACAAGTAATATTCACTTCGTATGATATTTTCATGTTCAGGATTATTCAATTAAATCAGTAAATGAGTACAACTATTCTAAGCAGGTATTTTTCTCTATTAGAAAAATGAATCCATTTCTTCTGATTATCTCTCCTTTTACTTGCATAGCATAAATATATCATGTACAACCATTTATTTCTTTATTCATAGTATGTATCTAATAGTGTCAGTCTTATTTCACTCAAATTAATAATCTCTAGTACACAACACATGGTCTCTCTCTCCCTCCGTATATCTTTCTTTCAACCTACTTACCTATCTCATTTAATGTCGCATGCCTTTTATTTTTATTCAAATAATTACGAATTCATTTTTACAATAGGCGCCCAGTTAGTCAACTTTCATCTGGTCTTCATTTTGACTCTACTACTACTAATACCAATACTATTAACAACAATATAAATGTTAACAACGACTGTTTGTGTACTGTTCTGCACTACTTATTTGTTATTTCAAGCCTATATGATGATATTCTTTGTTCTTTGATAATTAAGACGATGCAATATGATAACTGTTACGTAATTAGTGGTTTGATTGTGTTGCGTTATGATTATTTTCTTTGCTTTTTAATTAATAATCATTTAATTAGGAAAGTTGTCATTGAATACTGTGAAACTTTTTTTTACACATGGGCAAACTGTTTGGTCTTTCGATATTTATATTTTTTTCTTTACGCGATTGTATCGACTTCAGTGATATGGTTGTTTACTGTTATTACTATTACGACAACTGTTTTTATGACTACTACTACTTATACACAATTAATAATGGAGTTTATTTAGTACTAAGGGAAGGGGTAAATGTGAGGTAATTTCATCTGTATCTCTCTCCCTTCTTTTGAATTAATCATTGTGCAGGTTTTGCATTTTGTTTTCTAGTTTTGTTTGTTTGTTTTTTATAAATAAAAGAACTAGGTGTTTTTTTATTTTTATCTATACATATACCTCCAAATTTATTCATATGCACTTCTCTCGCACTGTGTGTGTGCCACTGTGTGTTTATGCGATTCTTCTTTGACCGAGTTTCTTTCCTTACTTATTTACTTGTTTATTAATCTCTGGAATGTGTTGAAGGTCAACTAACCACGCAAGTCTTCAATTTCACACCTTACACTGCTACCTTGTATACACCACTCTTTTCTAGTAAAGTAGTGTGGATTAATCAATCATCATTGTTATCATTATTACTATTATACATATGTGTGATTTATGACTAGTTTTCTACGAGGAATGTTTTGGTGTTATTTTCTCCTTTCTTCCTCTTCTCCCACCTCTTCGTACTCTTTTCTTTACATAAAAGATGTAGTTCACAGAGTATTTTCTACTTTATTGTTTTGCTTCGAACATGTGTTGGTGAAAAATGAAGAAATGTTTCCTCTTATTGTCCTTATACTTCACACACACACATAGAGCCTTACGATGAATACCAGTAACAAAATATGTACAGTCGCATTCATTATTACTACTGCTATACTACCTATACAGCAATCTAGTTGGGAGTAAACCACTGGATTTTTTACAACTTTGGTGTTTTTTGATAGTCATTCTTTACAAAAAACTCGATGTCGATCATGTGTAACAGTGTTCTCTCTCTGTGTACGTGTGTATTTTACTCATAATTCTCATTGTTGTTTTTGTTGTTATTGCCTTTGTCATAAGCTCTTTCTTAAAGAATTTTTTCTGTAAAATTCCTTGTACAGTTATCAATAATAATAATAATGGTAAAAGCCAACAATGATTGCTACTACTTACAATTTCGTTACACGTTACATGATCTGATGCCTGAAAAATCAGAGCGACCTAAGAAAATATGAAGGGCAAATCTGGGATTCATTTTTCTCAGCATACTTATAGATGTTGCAAACATGCTGTTTGTTTTTATGCACATACCACAGTTTTTTTCTGTCCGTCTACGCTTACATATAATAATGATGATTATCTATTCTCAGTATAAATAGCAACCAATAAAAAAGTACCCTGTGTTCCTCTGCTAATCAATCAGTGTAATCATTACTTCGAGTCGATTAGATGTAAATAACTTCGTCCTTTCGATTGTGTTCACATGATCAATCTGACTGTAGTTTCCGAAGAAACGGTTGCATAATATTGAGTTATTTGTTCATTTTATCATTATTTACATGTTGATTCTACACTTATAGAAAGCACTAATAAATATCGATGGATAAACTCCTGAGTTAATCATATAGTAGTACTCGGTACGAGGTCATACTTTCCTACACCCATTCGGGTGTTACGTCTTCAGTGAACACTTCTATAGTATGAACTTACTTATGCCTGATACCCTTCGTGGAGCATAGGTCACTGACCAGAGTTCTCTGTACTGAGCTCTCCTTTCCAGTTGTTGCTAATTGCCATTCATTCTATGTTCATAGTTGCTCTGGTTGTCAGAAGGGGAATATGACTTGTGACTTCCGAAGAATCTCGGCTTTCACTATGAGACGTTGTAACTCTTCTAAATGAAGACCCTTCAGCTCCAAGAGTAGAGTTTAAATAATTTTTCTGGTTAGCACTTTCTTAGCAAGGTTGTTTTTCATGGGATGTAATTGCCAACCCCATACCCAATTCTCCTCTATCCAGGTTCACAACTGGCAATCATCCTAGAAAGCCTACAGGTGGAGTTTCTGTAGGATCAGGGATTATTGACATTCTTGGTTTCTAACATGTTAAATAGTGCAATGGTTTCAACATATATTTTGGTAGTCTGGTTCAACTCCGACTAGCTTTTTAATAATCCTTAGAATCACTTGGTTTCGGAACAAATCAAACTGTTTGGACTTCAATCAGAATATCTAGTAGGATAGGCCCTTTTTGGTCAGTATTTTACGGCTATGTTTCTTGGTGGGCTTTTCGAAAGAGCTAATCAGAGCTATAATTATCTGTTTGTTTCAAGTATAGAGATCACCTGACTTTCAAACATCTTTAGGACGTGAAATGAATAATTGTACACTTAATAATGCAGTTATTTGTCGCTGAGCCTTCAGCTGATTAACCAAGTTAAACATGTAAACTATAAATTCGATTGTTGAACAATGCTTGTTGATTGAGTGTACTTTGTATATCAAGGCAATTAAGATTTATATCTATCTAGTCTATTCAAACCAGTTACAGTAAACATGGATGTATAGTGGAAATTCACATTTGGCAAAAAAGGGACAAACTGAGCGAAGAAATTTATTTCCAATTAGTATATATATATACGAGTTGTCCGTCCAGTGTTTCCAGGTTTTCCATAGTGGTCTAGCTTCAATGGACTCGTGATTTCAACTATAAAATGGTCACGTAATAAATATATGATAACATATTGATTATAAAGTAACATTGAGCAATTACAAGAAAGAGGATTTTAACAATTACTCGAAAATCAAACAATTGCTGCGTTGCATAGTATTAAAAAAAAGGAACTAATAAAATATTTTGATTAGTGGTCAATATTATAGTAGTTATGTATGAATCAAGGGACGAATGTTAAGAATATGTAAATACAAAAGCGGAAGAAATCCGAAAATAGTGTAAATATTTCTGAAGGAAAGGGTTCCATCAAAGTTCTGCTACAAACTCACTGCTATACCGATAGCCAAGGTAGCGAGAGTCGTTGTACAAACTCCTTTTGGATGCAAAAGTTTGGTTTATAAACATGGATTTCAATGGCTTCAACAATACACAAAAGACGAAATCGTAAATCATGTGGCGAATTTGATGGAATATGGTGGATAATCTTAAAAGCCTTATTCAATTATACTCGATGACCTATGACAACCAAATGAGCCAGAATAGAACTCTTAATCACTCTTACCTATTCCTTGCTCAACCAAGTCAGATGGTGTTCTGCTCTGAGATGACGGCCTTGTCAAATTGTACACCTTATATAACTAGCTCCACAGAAGCAGTTGAAATGGTAAATACACATAGATGTGGAGGATTCAGGCAATCTGTCTTTATTA